TCTTTGCAACTTTACAGATCTTCTTTATGCACCAAGAGCTTGTAACACTCCAAAGAGAAAGGAAAAATTGAAATCGCATCATATGACCCCTTTAAGCTATGCATAAATACTTGATGCTGTTTTGTTCATTATTGTTTATGCAATTTATGAAGTCATATTAGATTTATAAATATTAGTTTAGATGTTATGTACTTTTTTTATAGACAGCCGTTGTTTTCTTTGCATTGAATAAACCGTTTAATGAGGTGCATTATTTTGCTCATTGTGCCCTCAGGAGATGGGCCAAAAGTTTCCAAAACACTTATTTAATCTGCATATAAAATATAAGAAAGGAGATATGTGTTTAAATTTTGTGATTTTGTTTGTTAAGACTAAAATAAGTTGTTGTTTGTCTTAATAAATTGGGTAAATTAAAAATACAGTGGTTAAATTTAAACCTTTTTTTATACTGCTCTCTGTTTATTAAGAAAGGTTATAAAAAAATTTCAATAATTATCGATACCGAAGGATATGAAGCATTATATCGTGATACATTTTTTTAGCTATATCAGCCCTAGCTTCACCGTTTTATCGCTTTTTGTGACTTTAGATTTACTAAAAAATCTTTACATGAACAGAATGTCACTTGCGTTTGAAAGCTGAAAATAATGTGCTGCTGTCTGTAAGCAATGAGACGTGCAGTTATGAGAAATCGTACTATAATACCGTACATGTGATTGGACAGCAATAGCGGATTCATCTTAATAATCACTTAGTCTGGTCGTTTTCTCATGCGGGTGACACTTTATCATCAGTTTAGTGATCTTATCTGCTGCTGACACTCATCTCATTCTCCTCACTAGGTTAGAATTCAGAAGCGGTAAACACTGCGCTTTTTTCACACATTTATGTACACTGTTGAATTTTTTTTTCATGTTTCTGCTTAAGGGGTCCTAAAGTAAAATAACAGCCAGACAGCTGGCTTAGTAATAAATGAATTGAGAAAAAGGCATTACTTTCAAGAATGCCATTATGATTTAAATGAGAGAAACAATTGTTGCCGTTTTCCTCAGCATTATTATCTACTGAGATGGATATTTTAACTGCTACAATCTGTGTGCAGCTAAAGGCAGAACAGAACATCAAGTTCTGAGAGTCGAGCTGGACTGTTTTAGTTGCTGTACCTCCAAGAACTGCACTAAAGAGCTATTTGTGGTCAGTTCTTTTAATAAAGACGCCTTCCTGATGCGCACGTACATCTCTTGTGGTTTAAAGATGACTTTATATTCAAAAGGTTTAACTTATTTTAGACATAAAAAAAACTACGTGCTGTTCTTCAAGTGGTTATTTAACCTTTATGTTGTGCTGAAAGCTTGTGTTTGTAAATGTCTCATTATGTTATCACCAAATCCTGGAAATTGATCTTTTTGTCAGCTTGTTTTCTTTTGGTCAGCACAGGTTTTGTATTTCTTAAAAAAAACATTATTTGTGGATAATTTTGGCAATGTTCACTCAAAAACTGAGATGCAAAAGCTCAGGTGAATGAGGCCTATAAAAGGACCTTTTAAAAAAAAAAAAAGGAGAAATACAAAACCTGTGCTAATTGAAAGAAACCAAGCTGATAAAAAGATTGAATCCAATATTTTTAAGAAGTTCAGAAGCAATTTTTTTGTAGGCTGGTCATTTTTGAGCGGGAACACCACAAGTGCATCAAAAATTCTCTTTTTATTTATTTATTTTTATTTTTTTAAACCCAGTGTGAGCAAAGTCAGTAAAGTTTTAGTCCATTGCGATAACATTAACCTGCATTTTCAGGAAAATGTAAATCCTCTCTGTGTCAAAATGACCGAAACACAATATGAAGGTTAACTAGAATTAACAAAAAAAAAAAAAAAGGGCATTAAAGGGGTCATATGATGGGTTTTCAAGTTTTCCTTTCTCTTTGGAGTGTTACAAGCTGTTCGTGAATAGATAAGATCCCTGAAGTTGCAAAGACTAAAGTCTCAAAACCAAAGAGATATTCTTTATCAAAGTTAAGACTCTGCCACGCCCTCCTAAAACGGCTCGTTCTAACATGACCCCTTTAAAGAAAAACAAAACTGTAATTTACAAATTCATTGCTTCAAAACTAACAAAACCTAAACTGAAGTCAATTTGAAAATAGTATAAAAGATAAAAATGAAATTAAATGCAAAACTATGAACTTTGTTAAAGACGGAACTAAAAGCAGAAAGATCCTGAAATACAATTTCTACGCAAGAACAGAGTCAGCCTCAGATTAGGAAACAAACCACTGAGTCGCAAATATGATGAGAACTTGGCTCAAGTTCATGCAAAATCTCTCGTGAACCTAACTATGACAGAATAGAGGAAGCCTCTTCAGGGAAATAAAGGTTGTGCTATTCTCAAAGTTCATTTGGCTTAAAAGAAGATAAACTGAAACTCAGAAAGAGGAAGCGAAACGTCAGATCCCTTTCTGGATTAAGGTCCACTACAATAGCCCTTTCTGTATAGAGACGTGTCCCAGGAGGAGAGGTCTGTACCTGATGACTGTGACGCTCATGCTGCTCAGCTTCTGCTTCAGGTCTTGCATGCTGATGCCTTGAGGCTCATGACAGCTCTTGATCAGACTCAAAACCTGCACAAAGACCAGAATCCACATCAGCAAAACACACAGTCATGAACTATATATAAACAAATAAAAATGTTAATTATTAAGAGCCTGGAGATGAACATTTCTTGAATTTGAATTCTGAAGGGCAGTACTAAATGAAAAAAAAAAAGATATTTAGGCAAAATAAGAAAAATGCACACATCTTCATTCTGTTCAAAAGTTTTCACCCCTGGCTCTTAATGCATGGTTTTTCCTTCTGGAGCATCAGTGAGCGTTTGAACCATCTGTAATAGTTGCGTACGAGTCCCTCAGTTGTCCTCAGATCTCAAAATCATACAGTCATTGTTGGAAAGGGTTCAAATACACAAAAGATGCTGGAAAACCAAAGACCATTTGTGGGAGCTGAAGGATTTTTCTGAAGAACAGCAGAGAGTTTAACTGTTCAGGACAAACAAGGGACTCATGAACAACTATCACTAAACAAACAAACAAACAAAAAAACTGGTGTGGATCATAAAGGTAACAACAAAGCGTATGTAAACTTTTGCATGGGGTCATTTTTATAAATTCAACTATGATTTTCTCTTGTGGACTATATGTAAACGTCTTTTATGTGAAATATCTTATTCAGGTCAGTACTAAATCAAAAATAACATGCATTTTGTATGATCACTCTTATTTTGGTCAAATAATTGACATTTTACAGATACTGCAAAGTGTATATAAAATTCTGACCACATCTGTATACACACACACACACACACACACACACACACACACTGCTGTTGGAAGCAGTTCTGCTGCTTAGTATTTTTTTGGAACCTGTGATACTTTCTACAGGATTCTTTGATGAATAAAAAGCTAAAAAGAACAGCATTTAGAAATCCTTTCAAACAATTTAAGTCTTTACTATCACTTTTTATCAAGTTAACACATCCTTGCTGAATAAAAGTATTCATTACTTCAAAAAAAAAGAAAGAAAAAAATTACTGACCCCAAACTTTTGAATGGTAGTGTATATATTGTTACAAAAGATTTCTATTTTAAATAAATGCTGTTCTTTTTAGCTTTTTATTCATCAAATAATCCATACAAAAAAAAAAAAAACAGACTCCAAAACAACATCAACTGTTTCCAACATTAACAATAAATCAGCATATTATTATGATTTCTGAAGGATCATGTGACACTGAAGACTGGAGTAATGATGCTGAAAATTCAGCTTTGATCACAGAAATAAATTACATTTTAAAATATATTACAATAGAAAACCGATATATTTTAAATTGCAATAATATTTCACAAGATTACAGTTTTTTTTTTCTGTATTTTTGATCAAAGGTCAAATAAATACAGCCTTGATGAGCACAAGAAACTTTTTTAAAAACATTAAAAACCTAACCGATCCCAAACTTTTTAACACAGTGTACACACACACACATTATGCCCCGTTCAACTCTTGTACAATGAAGCATTTTTGACTCACTTGGTTCTGGTTGACACTCAAACTAACATTGACTAGCATCATACCAGCGCCAGAATAGCTTCCTGTGGAGCCTATGCTGCTCATGCTAGGCATCACGTTCATTCCTCCGCCTCCTCCCATCTATAAATGAAAGAGCATCGATTATCAAACACAGCCACAACAGACAAAACAGTAATGAAACAATGAAATAATGAGATATATATTGGCCAGGTCAATATGTTGCTGCTTTCCCCTATGGGTTTCAATATTATATTCCAAAATTTAATTTTGTTATTATTTAGGGCCCTATGATTTTGGAAGAATAAATGTGACCCTGGAGCACAAAAGCAGTGTTAAGTCGCTGGGGTATATTTGTAGCAATAGCCAACAATACATTGCATGGGTCAAAATTATCAATTTTTCTTTTATGCCAAAAATCATTAGGATATTAAGTAAAGATCATGTTTTTCTCAGTATTTAGATTTTTTTGCTCCCTCAGATTCCAGTTTTTCAAATAGTTGTACTAGTGTTGTCACGGTACCAAAATTTCAGTATTCGGTACCAATACCAGTGAAAATCCACGGCTCTCGGTACCAATTTCGGTACCAAAGCAAAACACAAAAACAAGCTAATTAAAAAATTGGACTATACTTTAATTTAATCCAAACTGTGCACATATTTAATTTTAAAGGGCTTTTGAAAACCTAGAGTTATTCAGCCAAGAATAACAACTAAGTTAGCTAAATAAAAAAATCAAAAAGCCCAGAACTGCTTTTCTGACTGATATGACACAATGTTAACCATTTGTACATTCTCTAACACGCATATTTTAGATTCACAATTCATTTAAAAGCCTCTGGTGTGTAAAAATAGTAAATATCATCATGTCCTCCTGTTTTTTTTACCCGAATAAAAGTTATAGAAGCATTAAATAGCTAATAAAGAAACTTCATTCTAATGTTCATTATATTAGCGTTAGCCGCGCTTATGCTAACGATTAGCTACTCTAATAACAGCATTCATTTCAATCCGACATTAAAATTAAAATAATGAATAATATTCATAACAGAAGCGGTGTTTCCCCCAGACTTGCACTCTATTTGTGGCGGCATATATATGCAAAATCATTCTCTGCCAGCAGGAGGCGCTTGTAGAGCAGGAGAGATAGCGGTTTACCCAGTAACGCTGTACACAAAGCAGCACTCAGCTCACAAACGCTGCTTTATCAGGCATTACAGGCTAGATGGAATGAAAATGACATCCATAATTTTCTGTCAGAAAACAGTCGGTTTCCTTCAGAAATACAGAGATATAAAAACACCCGCACCATTTTGATGTTGTGGCGGGCCGCCTCAAATAAATCAATGTATGGGAAACACCAATATTAAAAATTAAAATGAAACTTGACTGCTTGAACTCTTTCATTTGATCTGGGTGTCTTTAAAGTGTTTTGTTAGTTTGGTGTGTTTCCTCGTTTTGATGTTGCCGTCTTCAGTGCTTTTGTGAAGAGAGCGCATCTGCGCACCTTTCGAATAGCGCATCAAGAACCGGGTTGACCGGGTACTCGGCGGTACTTAAAAAAACCTGGTACTGTAACGTTTTCATTTTTTTAGTACCGACTTGGTAGCGAAGTACCGGGTCTTTTGACAACACTAGTTGTATCTCAGCCAAATATTGTCCTATCCTAACAAACCATACATCAATGGAAAGCTTATTTATTCAGCTTACAGATGATATATAGGCCTAAATCTCAATTTCAAAAAACCGACCCTTATGACTGGTTTTGTGGTCCAGGGTCATAAATGAAACGTAGGGCTGTACGATTACATCATGATATGGACTAGTGTCTGTAAAAATTACAGCGCAAAAAGTCTACACTTTAAAAGTGAAGTCTGTATGTTCAACGTGTCACAGTTTGGAGTTAGAAAACTAGCATCAGACACACACAGAAACTCGATAGCCCATCAAAATAAAAGTTAATGACAGAACTGTACAGTAGAATGGACTTCTCAGTGTAGTAACAACAATAATGCAGTTTAATTTCATAGGACACTAATATTGTTAAAATGTTATGAATTGAAATCATTAGATATCTTTTTTGATTATTAAAACTGAATCCAGAAAAATTACAAATGGAAAACACAGAATTTGGGAAGACATAAAATGGATTTTATAGAACCCTAATTATTATACTGTCCCATATTATATATGATTTATGCAAATCTTCCATTCAACATCTCAGATATTTCAATCATTTCAGATATTTAAGACTTTATTTATGGGCTTAAATTCTGAGCCGTGCATTTCAAGACATTGAGGACCCGCAGGAACCCTGTATCGGTTTCATGAGTAACCATCCCTGTACGACTAAAGATGTCATAAATGACTAGCTGTGAGCTACAGCATGAGCGAGTGAAAAGCAGAAGTGTCGAGGGAGAAGGACAGGCTAGTCTCACCGTCTTCTGTGGTTTGCTCTGCTGCACATGAGCGTTCACAACCTCCAGCATGTGTGAAGTGACTTCATTCATATCCTCCAGCACTCGCACGCTGAACGCAACCAAAGACCGGTTATTCTGCAATGAGACCAAACAATCAGTTCAATACATTGTGAAGGAGAAACTGCATTGAAGAAAGAGGAAAAACACACGAGCGAGGGCCATACTGGTGTTTTATATACTCATACACACATACACTACCGGTCAAAAGATTGGCTTGTAATGTTTTTTAAAGAAGTCTCTTCTGCTCATCAAGGCTGCATTTATTTGATAAAAAATACAGAAAAAAAACAGTAATCTTGCAAAATGTTATTACAATATAAAATAATGGTTTCTATTTTAATATCCTTTAAAATATCATTTATTTCTGTAATGCAATGCTGAATTTCCATCAGCCATTACTCCAGTCTTCAGTGTCACATGATCCTTCAGAAATCATTCTAATATGCTGATTTATTATTAGAATTATCAATGTTGGCAACAGTTGTGCTTTTGGAAACTGCAATACTTTTTTCAGGATTCTTTGATGAATAAAAAGTTAAAAAGAACAGCATTTATTCAAAATATAAATATTTTCTAACAACAACAATTTAACACATCCTTGCTAAATAAAAGTTTTAATTTATTTCAAAAAAAGTTTGACCCCAAACTTTTGAAATGTAGTGTATGTTGTTAGAAATGTAGTGTATGTCTATTTTAAATAAATGCTGTTCTTTTTAACCTTATTCATCAAAGAATCCTGAAGAAAAGTATCAGTTTTTAAAGTGGCGTCTATCGGTTTTTACAAATAAACTCTTCATATATACAATATATATATATATTTAAATGTATTTATTTATATAAAAATGTTCAAGTAACGAAAATGATTGTTAATGGTTTTAACTTCAGTTAACTACAATAACCCTGTTTTGTTCCCTAAAAATCCCATTTCAATATGATTACAACTCTTGAAACAATGCTCAAACCCATCTAAAGCAGTACCTCTGTGTCGATCCACTGCTTCACATCCATGGGAGCCGCCGTCATGTCATCCACCTTATACTGGATGTTGATTGTGGATTTATCAGTGCTTCTGATCACACCAACAATAGTTACCTAGACAGCGTCAGACAAAAAAAAAGCCAGACAAAAAATACATAAATAAAGGTCTTATGTGTAAACATACTAGAGAAAATGCTTCCATAAGTGTATCAGCCATGACTGCTTGCAGAACTACTTTCCTGTTTCATCATTATGACCCAGGTGTTTATGTTCAGCGCACTTCGACACAGAGAGGTATTCATGCGAAGACAGATTATTCTACTTTTCAGAGCTGTCAAGTGATGCAGGCAAACTTGTTTAACACATCTTCTCATATTTTGAATTTGGCTGGAAGTTAGTCTATTTTCTACTTTTCAAATGTAGTGCATTCAGTTCATAATTTTTTATCATTAGGAACAGACTTTGTCAGCGCAAACAAAACACCCTGCCTGTATGACACTTTCATTTCACTTTCATACATGTTTGCAGTTGTTTGCAGATCATCTGTGGTTTTTCTGTAATGTACAGAGAATGCGTGAACATGTTTGCAAGGTTGGGAAGATTAAGTAAACCACTGGCCAGAAAATGTATCGATTTAAGAGATAAGCTTTTATTGGGGGATTTAAACTTGTGATATCTGGCAACCGCAACCATGAATGCTTGTGGAGGCTTGTTAACGATGCAAGATAACACAAATGCGAAATGAAATGTTTTCAGGATAAATAACCAGTGTGAAAATAATTGCAGGCGATTGTGCTTAAAGGAGAGAAGCAGAAATCATGATCACAATTAAAATACAATCAATTGTGCAGCTCTACCGAAAAAAAAAATATATATACAAAAATACTTGACAGAGTCGTGATTAAAACATGCATTTATTTAATAAGATAAAAGCGGTGAGTTTGTTCATGTGTGATCTGTTCGGAACATCATGACTTCATCTGGTCTCTCCTCTCACACAGATACTGTGGCATTGTGTTATTTTAAGGGTAGTTATTTAGAGAAGTGGTCCTGTGATACACAAACCACAAACATCGTCCTCAGGCGGTACACAGAACACATGCACACTGTTTTAAAAGACATATTTTATCCAAATCTTTTTGCTCTTAAAACCTGTGAGATTGATTTACTAAAAGAGATCCAGTGTTTCCCATAGGATTTTGTGGGACCGAAATTTTGTATATTTTAAAAAGTTAAATTCATCTGTCCGGTGCATTTTGTTCAAAATATTTTATACTTTTCTTCCAATATTTCGAGCATCGTGAACCGCAAGCATGCTGTGCCTGTGCAGTATTTTCTCTGTGCGCTCCGTTAATTGTAGGCCCTGCTTGCAAGAGATGAACCCTTGAGCTTTTTATGAAGGTAGAATGACGTCAAAAAGATTTGCATACACAGGGTAAGAGTTGTGGAAGTGTACATAAGACTGGCAAATCTTTTTGACGTCATTCTACCTTCATAGCTTTTATTTTGATGAAAACTGCAGTTGAGCTTTTATTTTGCCGGAAACTCCAGCTTCTGTGAAAACAGGTTGACCAACACATTACAGATCTAGTGAAATACTGTAATCATTTGCTCATTAAAAATGTAGAAAATTATCCGAATGTGAAAAAGCGTAACTGATGCCCATTGCGTTCCCAGATGCGTTAAACGCACAGCACAGGCAGAAATAAGAGTTCACTACATTCACTGTGAACTGAGCCGTGGAAAACACCAGGGGCCGGCTGCATAAACTGCTCAGACTAGTCTTAAAAAGTTAGTCATCTAATATTTTTTTCTTCTTCAAGACTGGTCATAACTTTTTTAATTCAATTACAGAAAGGTAGATTGGTTTAATCTGAATCTCAGAAGTTGGTGAAACTAGTTCCAGTCTTAAAATAGTGGCTATGTTTATGCAACTGGCCCCGGATCTCGTGAGCAAAGTGTGCACTTCGCTTTGAAACACGCAGGCCGCCACAGTCTAGTTAACATTTTTTACAAAAAAAAAGTTGGCCCCCAGAATATTTTGTTGTATGAATATCTGACCATGCAATGCCAAAAGAAAGAACAGAGCCTCTGTTTTTAAACAAATAAAAAAAACTTGTTTTATTCTAGCTTCATGCATTCTCTTTTTGACAACTGAATGCGGGTAGTTTCATAAAAAAAGCAACATTTTTAACAAAAATCGTGTTTTTGTCAAAGATTACACCCGGATCGGATTCAGAGCGATAATGCAAACACAGATGAAGTCGATCGCTTCCATCAACACCCCAAAAGCTTCAGTCTTAAAATCACTTCCCGGGTCGACATTTCATTCGCTAACAATACAGTTTTGTTTTAGATGCTGTTTAACGTTTGATGATCATGTTATTTTACATATGCATCTGCTTAATGCAATCGCTTGTTTCTGCTGCTTTGATCTGGAGATTCAGTACTCTTTCAGAAGATGTGTTAATAGGTAACACTGTATAACAGTGAGAATGGCGGAGAAAGAGTCAATACTAGGGGTGGGGGAAAAAAATCGATACAGCATAGTATCGCTATATTTTACGCGTCAATACTGTATCGATACACGGATGCCAAGTATCGATCTTTTATTATACTATTTGGTAGAATAATAAAATCAATTTCTTTACAGTCCACTAGATGGTGGTGTTGAGTTTTTTTTCTGGTGAGGTCTTGACAATCCCATTTTGCACTGCAGCAATAAAATTTAAGTGAGATAAACAAACTGAGAAATGTTTGTTTTTAGTTAAAACAGATGTTGCCAAAGTTTTCCTTTGGGGACATAATTTGAAGTTGGAAAAAGGTAATAAACTGCAATATATATCGCAATATATTTAAAATCGCAATAATGTATCATGACACAAGTATCGTGATAATATCGTGTCGTGGGGACTCTGGTGATTCCCACCCCTAGTTAATACCAGGTGTAAATGAGGCCCTAGATCAGGGGTATTCAATGAAAGATCCTAGAGGTGCGAACAATACTTTTTTGGAATAATTATGAATTTCTATCTGGGCAGCAATAGTACTTTGTAAAAGAAAACAAAAATCCATCAAAATAGTCATCAAAGATGAGGATATTGGGCTCTGAGAACTAAATCCCCCAAGAACCAAACATTTTATCAGTTGAGCCCAGTTGGATATGAATATTAGAAGGTAAGATCAGATGTTTTATCAGGCTATTATTATTTTTGCATTTGGATATGTAGGTCATGTGACTGAGAAAAGTACTGTATGGGGATTCAGGGGTTTCCTGTTGAAGTCTGGACCATTTCTTTTATTTTGCTTAAAATAAGTATCTACTTAAAACAAACAACATATATAGTAATCAAAATGCTCTCATCATGAGCAGAAAACAAATTTAACTACTAATTTCAAAGTTTTTGTTGTCTTTCTTTACCATCTACAAATGTTTTTTTTTTTTCAAATTAAGATGTTGTTTAATTCTCTTAAAGGGGTCCTATGTCACGCTCAAATTGATTTGATTTTGATGCAATATTTACACTGAAGCTCGCAGGCGGCAGCACGATTTAAACCCGGATGATTGTAACCACTCTAAGTTTGTCTGCCTTGGGAAAGCTAGCGTGTCTCTGACACAGTGATAACACTCGTTGCCTTCTCTAGTGCAGCTCAACCAGGTCTCGTCCCATTCGTCGATATTTGTGATATCACAAATCCCGGAAAATATGCGTTGTAGTCCAAACGAGTCGTTCGTTGTAGTTTTTGAGAAGTGATTTCTGTTGAATAAAATATCTCCTTTTGAATTGGACTTTGAGCTTTGTAACTTTGCAGATCTTTTTTATGCTCAAACAGCAACATTACAGACTAACTAAAGTTGAAAAAGTGAAAAAGCATAATAGGATCCATTTAAGCAACAAACAAGAAAGAATGAAAGTATACATAAACAAGATGTTTATTTGGTATTTAACAGGCCAAACTGGCTTTTGGCTATTGAAAACAATAACTGTAACCATCTGAAATTAACAACGATAACTGCGCAGTAAGCATATTCAATACAAACATATATGGTACTGACATTTAGTTTTTGTTTTTAAATTAGATTGGTTGTTGGTTATAGTAGCGCCCAAACTAGCACAATGACCATATCCCAAATATCAAAACTCAATATCATTTCCTTTCCTAAAATACATATTATGCATATTTATCAAAAACACAGCTAAAAAGCTTCCTACCAGTGGCCCTCCTTCACAAAACCTAGCACAGTTTTATCATAGGTAGAATGCAAAATGTTTCAATACAAGCATTTCAGTCAAATGTAATTTAAGAAACATTTAAAACCTTTAACCCACGGCAACAGTTTAAAAGTCGCCCAATTCCATAAGCAGACTTCCCCAGAAATTCCCACAAATGACATGTTTGCGAAAGATTCCAATGTAATCCAGAAAAATCGGCCCAAAAAAAGAAAGAAAAAATAAAAACGGCCAGTTGCCGATCACGCGTTAGGAGCAAAAACCAGCCGGTTCTGATTAATGGCCGGTCAACCGGTGCATCCCTAGTGATGTTTATTATCGTTTTATCGCCCAGCCCTAATTATAGAGGATATAGCGCTGAAAAATCATTACCATAAATGAGCCTGAGCTCTTGTAGAGTGTACAGCTCCGTTGCTTTGACACACTATTTATTTTTAAGTGTTGAAACAGTAAAGTGAAAGTGAAAGTGAAAGTGACGTGACATGTGGCCAAGTATGGTGACCCATACTCAGAATTAGTGCTCTGCATTTAACCCATCCTAAGTGCACACACACAGCAGTGAACACACACACACCGTGAACACACACCCGGAGCAGTGGGCAGCCATTTATGCTGCAGCGCCCGGGGAGCAGTTGGGGGTTCGGTGTCTTCCTCAAGGGCACCTCAGTCGTGGTATTGAAGGTGGGAGAGAGCGCTGTACATTCACTCCCCCCACCTACAATCCCTGCCGGTACGAGACTCGAACCCGCAACCTTTGGGTTACAAGTCTGACTCTCTAACCATTAGGCCACGACTTAGTAAAATGGTGCTACAGTTGTCATTATGTCTCACGGCGCGGTTGGAACCAAGCTGGGTCTGGAACCGGATCGCGGTCCGCTATTTAAGGACCCCTGCCCTAGACATCTTGTGACCTTGCATTACAGAGATCAGACTCACCTGTGCGATCTCTACCTCTCCCACTTTAAAGACGTCCTCCGCCTGCACCGCAGACATCAGCTGGCACACAGTGCAGGGAACGATCTGCTGCGCTCGAGTTCTCTGCGCAACACACACAAACATCACTCAGCAGACTTTACTGGCACCAGTTACAGTGACTAGAGCGTTTAGATTTAAAATGAAACATGACTTGAAAACATGAGTAGCTGAATGTCATGTCTATGTCAGCAAAAGCCAGTCAAGAAAACGTCTGGGACTCATTTCGTATAGAAATAGTAAATATACATATATTGCATAATGAAATAAAAAAATTTGTATTTATATCATTTATGAAAATTATTTTATTAATTAAGCACGCCCTCTGGCGGTATTGGGATAGTAACATTCACATTCTGGAGAGCAAAATTTGTACACGCGCAGAAAGCGGTGTTATTTCACTATTATTTATATACTATTGTAGCATTAATGAATATTTTCATCCTCCAGAAGCTTGCGTTCTGCAAGTAAACAGTGCATTATAGTGTCATCCCAAAGAGACACAAAATCACTTTCACTGACTTTTACCTTAACTGTTCCCTCGTGGTGGAACAACCTGCCCAGCTCAATCCCAGCACTTGACCCTCTAACACTAGCACTCTCTATTGTATTTCTATTCTAACTACTTCTTTTCTTTATTATAAAAACTCTGACCCTCTAACATTTGCACTCTCTATTCTATTTACTTGTTTTCTTTTTATCTATTTATTTAAAAACACACCTGCGTTAGACTAGACTAACCGAGACTTGTCACAGCACTTACATATTGTTGCTCTTTTGTTGGTTTGACTGCTTTTATTGTCCTCATTTGTAAGTCGCTTTGGGTAAAAGTGTCTGCTAAATGACTAAATGTAATGTATTTTGAACTAGATTTATTTTCATATTTTTTGTTTTTATTTTAAGTGTCATTTTTATATATTTTTTTCAATTTAGCTTTGATTTACTTTGATTTCAGTTTTAGTAATTAATTTCAGGTAGATGCAACATTTATATATGCATTTTATTTCAGCTTTATTTCAGTTACTCAATATTATTTTAATAGTTTTAAGCTTATTAACAATAACAACACTGTTCCCGAGCAAGAGACGATGTCTTTTCTCAAGAGACAGACCCAAAATAATAAATACATTGGATAGATGATAGAAGCCACAATCTTTAATTCTGAATGCAGCATATGCCATAATGTGTAAATACTTAATTTAAAATAATAATAATTTAACTAAATCTGCATTACAGTAGCTAGAATTGGGAGTTCTTGTTTATTGTTAGCTAGTTTTGAGGAGGATAGGACTGACCGAACAGGACGTGGAGTAAAGAATATAATGGACTGCAGTAGCAGTGAACAAGGAATTAAATATTTGATTTGCTTTCTGACTAAAACATGACAAGAATATGAGGACTAAAGTATATGAGAAATAACTAGAACCAGAAGATAGCAGTAATGCAACGTTAAGGATGCAAGCTGCCGTTAAAATCCAAAGAAGAAGAAGAAGAAGAAGAAGAAGTAGGACTGACTCTCAGGATGCGCGATAACGTTAGCAGCTTAGCAAAACTCAGCCAACTAGGAGCCAGAGTGTGTTTCACACAGATAACCACTAAAGCACATACCTTGGTTCCACATTTTACTCGCCAATGTAGTTCTTCTGAACACGAACTAGACCGACATTAAACTCTCGAAAATCTCCCGCCACCGCTGATCGCGCAATGTGTGACGTCACGACTCTGAGTGCGCATGCGCAGGTCTGCACTGACGCCCGCCAAAAGTCCGTGACCGCTATCGTTATTTCTAAACTAATAAAGTAAACTATTTAAGTTGATTTGATTACGCATTTTAATTTGGTGAACTCTTTAACTAATTGAAATAACTTAATAAACGTAGTAAACAAAAAACGTATTCACACGCTTAGAAAATGTGTTAGTTAAATACATAAATATAATAATACATAAATTAAACAGTAATAATAAATATTTTAAATCAATTATGAATATAATAAACTAAGGAGGGGGTCTATTGAGGACATTTAATTTGAAATAATTTGTTTCCTGACGTCACGAGCGCGTCGCGGAGATTTGATGTCACATTGTTATTGTATGTCGCGTGGGACATACAGTAGAATATAATAATTTCTGGTAGTAGCCAGTTTATTGTACTTGTGGAGTGGAGTATAACAGTACGGTTAATTATTTGTGACACTGTAGCTTTAATACTCAAACAGTCCGCAGTGCAGTCATTTAACACTAGATGGCAGTATTAGACAGACGGTTGGACAACTTTTATTTATTTATTTGTGTTTTATTTTTCTCAAGAGACAGACCCAAAATAATAAATACATTGGATAGAAGATGATAGAAGCCACAATCTTTAACTCTGAATGCAGCATATGCCATAATGTGTAAATACTTAATTTAAAATAATAATAATTTAACTAAATCTGCATTACAGTAGCTAGAATTGGGAGTTCTTGTTTATTGTTAGCTAGTTTTGAGGAGGATAGGACTGACCGAACAGGACGTGGAGTAAAGAATATAATGGACTGCAGTAGCAGTGAACAAGGAATTAAATATTTGATTTGCTTTCTGACTAAAACATGACAAGAATATGAGGACTAAAGTATATGAGAAATAACTAGAACCAGAAGATAGCAGTAATGCAACGTTAAGGATGCAAGCTGCCGTTAAAATCCAAAGAAGAAGAAGAAGAAGAAGAAGAAGTAGGACTGACTCTCAGGATGCGCGATAACGTTAGCAGCTTAGCAAAACTCAGCCAACTAGGAGCCAGAGTGTGTTTCACACAGATAACCACTAAAGCACATACCTTGGTTCCACATTTTACTCGCCAATGTAGTTCTTCTGAACACGAACTAGACCGACATTAAACTCTCGAAAATCTCCCGCCACCGCTGATCGCGCAATGTGTGACGTCACGACTCTGAGTGCGCATGCGCAGGTCTGCACTAACGCCCGCCAAAAGTCCGTGACCGCTATCGTTATTTCTAAACTAATAAAGTAAACTATTTAAGTTGATTTGATTACGCATTTTAATTTGGTGAACTCTTTAACTAATTGAAATAACTTAATAAACGTAGTAAACAAAAAACGTATTCACACGCTTAGAAAATGTGTTAGTTAAATACATAAATATAATAATACATAAATTAAACAGTAATAATAAATATTTTAAATCAATTATGAATATAATAAACTAAGGAGGGGGTCTATTGAGGACATTTAATTTGAAATAATTTGTTTCCTGACGTCACGAGCGCGTCGCGGAGATTTGATGTCACATTGTTATTGTATGTCGCGTGGGACATACAGTAGAATATAATAATTTCTGGTAGTAGCCAGTTTATTGTACTTGTGGAGTGGAGTATAACAGTACGGTTAATTATTTGTGACACTGTAGCTTTAATACTCAAACAGTCCGCAGTGCAGTCATTTAACACTAGATGGCAGTATTAGACAGACGGTTGGACAACTTTTATTTATTTATTTGTGTTTTATTTTTTTGTTTTTACAGTAAAAATTTTAATGAATGTTAAAATGGAAAAAAAAAAAAAATACAATTTTGACCACAACTCCCTTTTTAGTTTCCCCCCATTTTTAAGCTTTTTTAAAAGTCCTATGGTGTGAGAAAATGATTTATAAAAATACAAATATTTTGAGATTGTTAGTTGTCAGTTGTTAATTTGTCACTTAATGTAAACTTATTAACTCTGCATGCATAATAATTATATCCTCCTGGGTCCCAGGCATAGACTGCTGTCCTCTGTAGAGGGCATTATATTTGAGTGAGTTTCTCTGAGACCCTACATGCCACAGATTCTGCACAGAGCACATTCAGGGATTTTCAGAGGTTTGATCATAAACACTCCCTCTCTTGGGTCTTTAAAAATGACGGATATTGACAGAGTGATCAAATTTAGCACTCTTAGGGAAATATGATAATGTTTGGGAAAAAAAAACATCAAAGAAAAATGTTATGGGGGTTTCAAATCGGAATATGACTTTTTGTTACGAAGCAGGGCATAATTTTCATCAGAGGACACCAGGACAAACATCATGTTAATCAGGCATTTTGGGGAGACACAACAATGAATTATAGATCAATATTCCTATGAAATATGAGATATTCCTGTGAAAATGTTGCACCTCTTTTTTTCATTATGGTTTGCCCCAAGAACACATTAATATGCAAATTAGATGCAATGTATAGATGCATTGATTAAAATGGGAAAACCAATTTATGGACATTTTATGCACATATTGCATTAAGTACAGTAGTATATCAAATCATTCTGTTATATCTTTCATAGCATAGTTGAGAAACATATTTGTACAATGTTTGGCTAAAAATAGCCTGAAACCTAAGAACTGATTGGTGAATGAAAAAATAAATAACTGTTTTTGCCTATATATGCCTTTTCATGTCTATTTTTTTTATTTTTATTTTTTAATAACCTAGTCTTGGCGTCCTCTACAAAGTGCATAGAATAAAATATTAGTAAATATATTTTTTCAAAAATGCTTCTTGCTCCAACCAATGTAATGTAAAAAAAATAATACAATTCACAAAACTTTTTTTTTTTTTGGTGCCTATTTTTTTCTCCAACCCTTGTTTGTATTTGTGTTAAATTCAGCAAGTAATTTGTCCTTATTCCCACAGTTTTGCCAAAGACATGAATAACATCTGAATCGTGTTGCCGAGAGGTGTGCTGTCCTTTACTGATTAATGGTGGACAATAAAGCAGGGGGAAAAAATCTATTGACTTAATAGAAAGAAAGAAGGACACTAGTCATATCTAGAGATCTGAATATCATAGAGACTAGAGTGGACTCTCTTCAACACCCTAGCATTGAGGCAGCATGTTTTACATGGACAAACATCTCTGAAATCTACACTGTAAAAAAAATTATGTAAAATTTATGGTAAAAAATGGCAGCTTTGGTTGCCGGAATTTTACCGTAAAAAATACAGTAGCAACATTTTAGGTTTTATGGTTTTAACTTAATTTTACTGAATTTACTTCATTTAACTGAAATGATGTTAATATACCAACCTATTGAAGTACTGAAATCTGTTTTGTACCTTTGTAATACACTGATAACCACCAAATGCAGGTGGTGATGAGAAAGTCACATGATGAACCAAAGCCCATCACAAGCAGCTTTTAAATAATAACATACAGGTGCATCTCAATAAATTAGAATGTCGTGGAAAAGTTCATTTATTTCAGTAATTCAACTCAAATTGTGAAACTCGTGTATTAAATAAATTCAGTGCACACAGACTGAAGTAGTTTAAGTCTTTGGTTCTTTTAATTGTGATGATTTTGGCTCACATTTAACAAAAACCCACCAATTCACTATCTCAACAAATTAGAATACTTCATAAGACCAATAAAAAAAAACATTTTTTGTGAATTGTTGGCCCTCTGGAAAGTATGTTCAGTTACTGTACATGTACTCAATACTTGGTAGGGGCTCCTTTTGCCATTTTTTACAGTGTAGTTCATTATCATGAATGTTTCACCGCTGACTTTTTATTTTACCCTCACAGCAGTGATGTTGTCAGGGATGATGCAGATGTGCAGATCGAGTCTAAACAAGACTCCATCCTGAGCGTCCAGACCCCTGACCGGACCTATCAGGTGAAGCTAACGCCTGCTGTGAGTCTGCTGGAGACGTCGTGCCAGAGGAGTCCTGGAAACACTCAACACGGATCACACTTCAGACTGCGGCTCAAGGTGGAGCAGCCGACAGGTACACGCTGATTATTACCCATAAGCACTTTCTCACCAAACCCAGGTCAGCATGTGGAGGTCTTTAAAGAGCCACTCTTATTGGATTTCCTTGAGGAATGTAAGTAATGAGTGCATGAGCTGCACACACACCAGATCAACAGAGATTATTGAAGAACAAAGCGAACTCCAGTAACGTGACCTGCTGCGCTGAGCCTGAGCTTTACTTCATGTCAGCTGACTCAAAACTCTTTATCCCAGAAAACCCCAATTTAAGTACTTTCTTGTTTAAATTGAGCATATTTAAACTGTCTATGTTGTCTTTGTGACACTCTACAGCCATGTTGTTATTGTTAATTAAAACGGATAGTTAAATGAAATGAGGCTTATATATAAATATTAGATGAAAAACTGTAAAAAAAAAAAAAAGTTAACTAACTGTGTGATTGCATTATCTGCATGATAACCGTACTGTCTGCCATATAGACATTACTCTGACACTCACCTCCGATAACGTTTTTCTACTTGTGATTGTAATATAGAAACATGGACTTTCTGTAGATGTGAGACGCTATACAAATAAACGTGAAATGAAATGAATTGAATAGCTAAGAATTTTTGCAAGGCTTTAGTGTTGTTATTTTTAACTAAAACCACTTGATTAATGAAATAAAGCTGATAAAATATAAATATTAGATAAAAAACTTAAAGCGCTTAAACTGAAATGAGAAATGTTGCCTTGACAACTAACTGAAATACTAAAAGTACTAAAATGACTAAAACTGAAAATAAATAACTTAATTCAAACTAAATAGAAATATAAATGACAGAAACACGTAACAAAATTTGTTTAAATTTAAACTCAAATTTGAAAAATTTAAATATTGATATATAAAATGTATATATTAATAAATACTATGTCAGAGCAACTCAGTTAGCTGACTCAATCATACTCAAAACTTTTTTTGTATTTTAGCATATTTTTTATACTGTTTGTTATATTTGACAATCTTTGCATAGCTTTACTGCAGCGTTATTTTTTTTGTTAACTAAAACTAATTGTTAATTTAGTTTAGTAAATTTAGTAATTTAGTAATTTAGTAAAAAAAAAAACAGTAATATAGTAAAAAAAAGCTCAAATAAGATTAAATATAAATATCTGATAAAACACTTAAAGCACTTAAACCGAAATTAGAAATGTTGCCTTGGCTAATAACTGAAGTACAATGTTTAAGTTGAAGCTCTAAAATTACTAAAACTAAAAATGAAATACAAATAAATTAAAGCTAAATAGATTTATATATATATATATATGACAAAAATGCATAACAAAAGTACTACAATTTAAAACTAAAATAAAGCATTAAACTGTTAACAAATATGACTTTTATGAATGTATACATGCAGAGATTAACATAAACGTATATAAATTAATGAATTAGAAGTATTTTTCATTGTTAGTTCATGTTAACTAAAGTAGGTAACTAAAGTTTACAAATGGAAACTTATTGTGAAGTGTTACCAATTTTGAATTCGATTTTATTTTTATTTATTCGCTTTAATGTATAATATACTTAACTGATAAAACACTTAAAGCACTTAAACCGAAATTAGAAATGTTGCCTTGGCTAATAGCTGAAGTACAATGTTTAAGTTGAAGCTCTAAAATTACTAAAACTAAAAATGAAATACAAATAAATTAAAGCTAAATAGATTTATATATATATATATATATATATATTAAAAACATGCTGATAATTGGCTAACAGAATGTTCTCTTACAATATATGGTAAAATACTGTAAAAAAAGAAAAAAGAAAGAATGTCATCTTACAATTTACAGGTAAAAGCTGTGAACTGTATCATTTCCAGAACTCCCTGGGTGATTTGTTGGTATTTTCTTTATGCAATTGCATTTCTTAATAGTTTATGTTATCAGTTAAGTATATTATACAGTTATGTATACTTTCTCTTCACCACCTGTGTTATTATGGTGCTTGTTTAGTAGTATGTTATGTAACATCAGCGTAAATAATGAGAGAATCTTCATTTTAACTCTGAAATTTCACTCCTAATAAAGTAATGAAATCATGTGAAAGACAGTGGCGTTTGAAACACGACACTAGAGTGATGTGATTGATGCAATTTTGCTGTTAAAAGTGGATAAAAGTTGCTAGAGTTTCCTCATGGGAGCGTGTTCAACAGTGCAAAGCAGATTTAATCTCTCTCTCTAAAACTGATGGATCTACTTGAAGAATATCCATCAACAGAGAATTGCGAACTATGAAAGCATTCAAAAAAGCTGTTTTGAAATCCAAACAGTTCCATTATATAATATTCAAATCATGTGATTTTTCCAAGTTTTATAATCATGACTCCATCTTTTTTTTTGCATCTCGACAGATAGATAGATAGACAGATGGATAGATAGACAGACAGACAAGACAAGACTAGACATACAGACAGACTAGACTAGACAGACAGACAGACAGAC